TCTTAAATAGCACCGTCTCAGGGTGGATCAACCAGTTTTGCTGCTGGTGGTTGATCCACCCCGAGACGGTGCTATTTAAGAGACTGAGCTGAATACAGCTCCTCAGACTGAGGAAGTCTCTCGGATGAGAGACGAAACGTTTCTACATTTTTTTGTTGATTTGCTTTGTTTTGTTTTTTTGAATGTCCAGAGGACCAGATTTAACTTTTTTAGATAAAAGCTCTTATATCTTAATTTAAAGATATAATCAAAATGATTAGTGTCATTTTGAAAATAATTCAGTACAATGATTGATATTAGCCTTTTATTCTGTATTTCAAGAACTGAAACTGCTGATGAAAAAGGTCAACATATATCTGTGAAAATAATTATTTAAACTATTCATGTGAATACTGATATAATCCTCGTATACTTCCCATGTCAAACACATGGCGAGTTAAAGCAAAGGTTAGTTCATGAAATATTACCAGAAAATAAAAGGATTATATTAACACAAGCATTTTCATGAGACGGGTGGATCAGATGGTAGAGCTGTTGCCTCTCAGTGAAAAGGTCGCCAGATCAAATCCCAGCCACAGACTTTCTGGGTGGAGTTTGCATGTTCTCTGTGCATGCGTGGGTTTTCTCCGGGTACTCAGGTTTCCTCCCACAGATCAAAAACATGCATGTTAGGCTGATTGGTAACTCTAAATTGTCCCTAGGTGTGAGTAAGTGTGAATGGTTGTTTGTCTCGTTTGTCTCTATGTGTCCCTGTGATGGACTTGTGACTTGTCCAAAATAAAAGTGTCCCCCACCTCTCGCACAGTGACTGCTGGGTATGGGCACCGGTGACCCCCGTGACCCAAAAAAGAAGAAGACGGCAAAGATAATGGATGAATGGATTTTCACAAGACAAAGTAAACTTTTTGTTTGAGGGGTCATAAAGGTCAAGAGTTCTATAACTGAATAATAATTTATTCTTCTTTAGGCTACTCCCTTCTTCAGGGGTTGCTACAAAGAGCTAACTCTCATAAAGATCTGGCAATTGTTTTTACACCATACACCTTCCTGACGTAACCTCTGAACACCAAGCTGCTACAGCCCACATGTGGGGAGTAGAACGCTGCCATCTACACTGTAAGGTATCCAGAGAGCAGATGGGGGGTTAAAGGCCTCGCTCAAGGACTCAGAATGGGGCAAATGAGGGTGGAGGCAGGTGTGAGTGCTTCACCTTTCCCACACAAATTTTTGTTTGTTGTCAGGGGATTTGAACGTCCAGATCACATGCTCACCTTCTCTATCCACTGTTCCACCACTCCTGTCTGTTACTAAATAATAATCATGGGATTTCTATTAATATGCATTTAGGTTCCTTGGAAAAAAGTCTTCTTTGCAAATGTTGGTATAGTAAACACAAAGCTGGTTTCTCTTACAAACCAGGAGGAGCAAGTAGTAAACTGAAGCAAGTTTATCTCTAAAAAAGTTGCCAGGTCCTCTGGATGGGTAGCCAATTTAATTCATCTTGGCAGGTTCTAATGCAGATGAGAACTTTTATTTGTTCATAATGAAGAGGTCATACCAACATTGTCTTGTGGGTTGAACATGTGAGTTATTTTGATTGTAAGAATATATTTTATTAAATACCTGGGCTGCAAGGCTCTCATTTTCCTTTCTGAAGTCTTCCATCTGATTGATGGACTCTGTCAATCTGATCACCTGTTCAGCAGCTTGGGCTGCTTTTGTCTCTGCCTCGTCACACCGAGCTTCTGACCGAGAAAGTTCACTTTGCAACCTCTTGCTCTGAACGCAAAAATAAAGTTAGTGAAACTATTGATGATACATATTTATGCATAAATAAAAATTGTGGTATTCACAAATATTAACATTATTTTAAAAAGTTCTTGCAGGAAAGTTGTTACAAAGAAGATGCCTACACTCACCTCTGCATGCCTCATGTCCACTTCCTCTTGTATTTGCTTTAACTCTGCTCCCAAAGCGTCAGTCTCCCTCATCAGGTCGTTTTGTTTCTGTGATTCATCACATCCATGTGGTGAGTGTCACGTTATAAAACATTAAACATAACATTAAAATATAATGGACGGTTGAATAAAATTTGTGAACTAGATAGCTCTAAATACCTGTGTAAAATATTCTCTCTGATTACTGGTCTCCCATTCCTCGGCACTGGGCGGATCCACCAGTTGCTGCTTGTGATTGAGCTCAGTTGTTGTTTGCACTGGAATAATCTCCAGGTTGTGCCTTTCCTCTTTTAAATCCAAGACCTTTTGCATTATTTCCTTTTCCTCTCGCTTCAAGCAGCTGACTGAAAGTTCAAATTTTCCTTGTTCTTCCTTCAAACTGCGAACTGACTGTAAAAGGTGGTTGTAGTCTTTTGTTAAAGTGAGAGTCAACTGCTTTCTCTCCATTTGCTCGGTCAAATCCTTGAGAGAAGTGTTTATTTGGTCTCTCTGTTCTTTCAAATGAAGCACAGTTTGACTTAAGTGGTCGTTCTCCGTCTGTAAACCTTGCAAAGATTGCACGATTCGATCTCTCTCTTCTTTTCCACTCGACAGTGCTTCTGTTATCGCCTCTTTATCTCTTTGGAGAGCAGATAAAGACTCCGTTAGCTGCTCCTTCGTTTCTTTAAGGCCACTAACAGACCTCAAAAGCTGATCTCTCTCGTCCTTCAGTCCACAGACAGCCCTGTTCAGCGGCTCCCTCTCTTGTTTGAGAACAGACAGAGACTGAAAGATGCTATCTTTCTGTTCTTTCAGTGCCCAAACTGTGCGCGTTAACTGCTGTTTTTCCTCTGTCTGTTTTTGAACTGACTGTGTGACTTCTCTTTGTTGCTCTCTGAGAGAATTGATGTTGACAATCAGTTCTTCTTTTTCTGTTTTGAGGTTCGGGACTGAGCTGGTGAGCTGGGCCACTTGGCGAGTCAGTGAACTAACATGCAGGTTGTTCTGTGAGCAGTTTTGTAAGGACTCAAGCTGATAATTACATTGACAACCAGCCGATGGGGCTGAGGACAAACTGTCTGTTTCTTGCCTGAAAATCAACTCTGCCTCGTCTCCTTTTAGCACATTTGCAACTAAACTGTCCACGTCTTCTTGATTGATTTGTGAAACATTTCCTGATTTTCCAGCAGAGCGTTCACTTTCCAGTTGAACTCGAAACTGCTGTAATTCTTCTTTACTCTCATCTAACCGCTGCTGAAGCTCCATGATGGCATTCAGATCATCCTCCGTCTTCTTGGTGAGTTCGGAGATCAAACTAGCATGTTCTTGGTTCTCCTGCTCCAGCCTGTCACCATCCTCCTCCAGCCTGAAGATATGCTCCCTCAGCTGTTTTTGCTCTTTTTTGATCTCCTCCTCCCTGAGTTGAATGTGAGCCATCAGCTCCTGGATCCTTTCTGCCAAGGCTCGGTTTTCCTGATTCAGAGCTTGAACAAGGTCATCCTGAGCAAGAATCGTGTCATCTTTGGCAGGAAATGATGGGAGATGATCAACTACATCCAAGATGGATGGTGTGATTATCTATAGAAAGAAGAATGTGATTACTAATACTGAATGTAGAACAAACATATCGCAGTTTTTAAAACAACAATACAATAAATATTAAATACCTTTTCTCTTGGTGACCTCTGCACTGTTGCATTCTGTTGTTCCTCTGCATCCTTTGTGAGCTGTAATTTTAGCTGAGCATTCTCCTGAGTCATAACCTCCAGTTGTGCCTGCATTTGCTGCAGGGCAACTTCCAGGTGCTCATATTTCTCATGAAGAGCTTCCCCGAACCCTAAGCTCTGGAACGCTTCTCTCAGGGCATCAGATTCCTCACTGGGACTTTCCTCTATGTGTCCTGTCTTAAACTCATTCAGGAGTTCTGCAGTGATGGAGAGTGGCTGGAATTTGGTGTTGGATTTAGAGTCAAAGTGGCGAAAGAGGTTGACAGGATCATGTCTAGTTGGGGTTTTGGATTTGGGTGATGAGAATCCATCCTCTGAGTTGTTTTGTATGTGCTCTGCTGCCGCCTGCTGGACAACATGTGGAGTTGCAAACAAATGATTTTGCACTCGTCTTTCCTCTGCAATAGGCGGAACCTGCCAAAAGATCACAGTTTGTTACCTAAATTGAAACAGAAATTAACAATAACTGAGCATTTGGTGGGAAAAAAACTGCACTGTTATCAACTTTTAATCCTAATTTATGGCCTCAGTTGGCTTCAGACAAATACTGAAACATTGTTACTTAAAAGAGCACTTTGGGAGATTTTACTCTTTTTACGCTGTAATACACAAGATCACTTGTACGGTTCTTTAGTTATTTATCATTTAGCAACTGCTTTACACCTTTTATTTTAAAAGAACTGTATTTATTATGTAAAAATGGTAATCAAAGAAGGAAGTGACTATATTTAGAAGTTGTTCTTGAGCGATTGAAAGAAGAATATTACAACTTTCAAACATATATAGGTCAACTCTAATGACCTTTATCTGTTGTAAATATGGTTCTAGCTCAATATAACAGCACTTGGATTTGGTCTAACATATTTTTCCCATTTAATATGATGAAACAATTATGAATGTGCAATCCAGCATCTGGTTAGTTTTGGATTTGTTAAATATAAAAGTTTTTACTGTCATGATGCTCAGTCCACCTTAAATAGCTGGATGCTATTTAATTTTGTGCACCACTATTTAATGCAGGTAATAATAATTATCTGACTACCATGTACGATGAGACCTGTTTGCGAAGTCACAAATAATAAAAGAGCACATTGATTATTTTTTGTTAATGCTTTTCTCTCTAAAAAGGGAAAAAAGCTAAACAGTCATAAGTCAAGGCCATTTTAAAAATTTCAGACTTTTAGTTTCCAGTTTAAATCTTTTAGATAAGATATTATTAATTTGGAAAATTATGCTTTGAATTAGAGTAAAATAAATAAAACTACTTGTGTTGTAGTGTTGTAACAAGTCATGCATTTACATATATAACATTTTTAGTCTTAACAGGGTTCACAAAGTGTTTTACAACGAGAACTAAAACTGTGAAAAATTTCATATACAGTATATTTATTGTGAAATGCATATCCCTTCTGAAAATTTTGTCAAAAATTCTGATTTTTGTCTTTTAGAAAATGGAAGTGAATTTAAGTCTGGAAACATAAATGTTTTTCTAAACTCTACCTTCTTTTCCAAACTTATCCAGTCCTGGAAAACTCAAAAGAAAATTTCATATTCTTCCATAATTTTCAATACTGTAAAAATCCTGATAAATGAATATATTTTAACGTCATTCAGACTGTTTTATGGATGTTAGTAAGCCTTTTTCTTTCTGTTCCTTCAAGACATTTTTGTACTGTTTGATTAAATAATGGTTATGTCAGTAATAATAATAGATATGTCAGTAATAATAATAGATATGTCAGTAATAATAATAGTTATGTCAGTAATAATAATAATAGTTATGTCAGTAATAATAATAGTTATGTCATTAATATTAATAGTTATGTCAGTAATAATAATAATAGTTATGTCAGTAATAATAATAATAGTTATGTCAGTAATAATAATAGTTATGTCAGTAATAATAATAGTTATGTCAGTAATAATAATAGTTATGTCAGTAATAATAATAATAGTTATGTCAGTAATAATAATAATAGTTATGTCAGTAATAATAATAGTTATGTCAGTAATA